AGAACTGGGTTGAATATCAAAATACTATTTTATTGCAGCATGCTTTTATGTTGATTTTAAAATTTTTATTACTTTTATTGGGGGCTCTTACAGCTCTTATCGTGATCTATATATTCATCCATGTGTCAGCTTTTATGTTTTTCTATTTACTTTGTATTTCTAGTATTTTGTGGATAAATTCTTATCAATTTTGACTATTGTTAAGACACAAAATGTCACTACATAAAAATTAAGCTTGCTGTCAGTGTATTTTGTAGTACAAAGTTTGAGAATTCCCTACTAAAAAAGAATTTAGAATCTTCAACTCATTATTTATATTAGACCCAAACTCACTGCCATTGAGTCAATTCTGACTCATAGCCACCCTATAGGGCAGGGTAGAACTGCCCCGTTGAGTTTCTGAGACAAATCTTTAAAGGAGTAGAAAGCCTCATCTTCTCCCACAGACTAGCTGGTGATTTTCATTTGTTGACCTTGTGATTAGCAGCTCAAAGCAACCCACTATGCCACCAAGGCTCCTTACCAAACTCAGGGCCATCCAATCAATTTCTAATCATGGCAACCCTATATCGCAGGGTAGAACTTCCCCTGTGGGTTTTGGAGGCTGTAACTCATCTTTCTCCCACGGAGCAGCTGGTGATTTTGAACTGCTGACCTTGTAGTCAGCAGCCTGATTTGTAACCATTTATGCCACCAGCGTTCCTTAGGAACATTTTTATCACAACACAATTTCTTAAATGGCTCTCTGCAGCAGTGAATTTTGGTACATTTTAAAAACAATTTAAAATTATATATATAACATCATTTTGTCCTTAAAATGTTTTGAGTCATTAACATTAAACATGATTGTCACTTTACAAAAACAACAAACCCACTGTGATCAAGTCAACTCCAACACAAAGCGACTATATATCATTTCCAAGACTATAAATCTTTACAGAAGCAGACAGCCTCATATGAATCCTGCCAACCTCGGGGTTAGCAGTCCAATTCAATTCTCTAACTTAGAGGGCAACAGTGGTTTTCAGATTTAATTAATGTGGAGAAAGGAATTAACATTGTTACTTTCAAACAGTAAGTACCAAATCTTGGTGGTGTTAGGCGCCATAGGGTTGGCTCCCAATCCGTCATGACCTTACTATGCACAACAGAACGCAACACTGCACCGCCCTGCACCATCCGCACAAATATTCCTGTGCTTGAGCCCATAAAATCTTGGGATGAGCAAAATTCGAGTTAATATAAAAATGCATTATTCTTTGCAACATAAGGTACATATTTGGTAGTCATAGTTCTTAAAGTAAATCAATTACTCCTGGCTATCCTTTTGAGACCGGAGGGCAAAAATTGTTCCGAACCGGTTTAGTCATGGCTCACAAAGAGAAACCAGGGCAGAAGTGAAGTTTCAACTGTTTGGTGAACCTACAGGGCACAAGGAACGGGAGAAAAAAGTTACGCTTCGAAGCTCTGAGGCAAAGTCGGCAGAAAGAGGGCGGGGGAATCAACGCTGCCTTGCCAGGCTGGGGCGCTATTTAAGTATCTGCACAGGTAGCAGGCGAAAGGCGGCTCCGCTTTGGTGGCGCGGGGATCTTCCAGATATACAGTACTCTCATTGTAGTCCCACTTCCTTCGCGGAGAAAACACCTGGGGAAGCCGGGCCACTACCCCAGGACGCTCCAGAACGCACACCCCCCTGCGACGTCGCACAATGCGCCAGTGACCTGGGAGGCCATCTCATTGAGGGCGGGTTCGCATTCTAAGTCAGCTGATTCGCCACATTTTGCATTAGAATTCGAAACAAAAATTAGA